TTGTGGGTGTGGAAGGGTGCTTGTATAGCAAGGGTTCTGCCTGCCAGAGTAGGTGGATAGAACAACTAATGTATTTTAAGCTAGAAGCTGTGAGAAACTGCCTTTTATCAGCTGAAGTATGCAAAACTCAGTGTCTGGACAGCAAAGCCTCAGTGATGGTGCTGGTCAGGGTCTACTAAGGGGGTGGAAAGAGCTCATCACTGTCTCAGCTTCAGCTCTCAGCTGTGATTCTTCCAGGGAAAGGTGGAAGTGTTACTAGGAGGATGTCCTAAAAATTTCCAGTTCAACTTCTATTTATAGAAAAAGCAAAGTCTCCAAGCTGTTGTCTTCGTTCCCAGTTAGATCTCTAAACAAAGTGCTTTTTACACCTGAACTGAAGCAGGAGGGTAAGTGTTCAGTAGCACTCCAGCCTTGGCTTCATCTGCAGCACTGTGGGATAGCATCTCATGGTGCTCTCCAGCCAAGTGACAGACAAAACAGTCCTGGAAATAACTAGTTTTAATTTTCAGAGCTGAAGGTGGTTTTGCCTTTTTTTCAAGTTTCTCTTCATCATTAAAAAGAAAACAATCCAAAAGCTGTCCACATCTCCACTCTGTCTGTTGGATTGTTGGGGAGAGCACAGAGGGGGCACTGCCACATGATTGCATTGAAAGAGTGCAAATTAAGTACCCTGTACTTAATTACCTTTAAGTCTTTTCTCTTGAAGATAATTCTGGTGTGTGGCACAGACAGTAGTAACAGCTCACCTCTGCTAGGGGGGAATGCCAGCTCTGTTCTGCAGATGAAAATGTAGCATTCAAAATTGCATATTATTAAGACAAGTCTTTGGTGATAATGATAACCTTATCTAAGGTGTGAACAGATTGCTCAGCACACTCGCCCCCATTCTCTGAAGTCTTTAATAGCAGCAGACTGCATTCCTAACCTGATGAGTTTCATAGATATTTACTTTTATTTAACATTTACTTAGTGCTTCTTTGTTTGGTTGTTTTGGGGTTTTTCCCCAGGGAAAGCATATATTGCAACATCCTTACAGATTCTCTTTCACTAGTCCTGGCCACAGTCTGGACTCCAAGAACTTGAGGAAGAATCCAGGTTGCTTTTTCTAGCTAAAGGCTGGAGATTTGTGCTTTACTGTTTTATGTAAAATCAGTCCTCCAGTTGGTTTCTTTACTATGTACCTGGAGTCACATGGGCAGTAATTCTGTGTTCTGTTTCTAGAATTGTTCTTCAGACTGTGTATATTTACAGGAAGCACACTGAAGGTTCCTATTACCCTTTGCATTGTGACATAAGAAAGACACTTCTGGTTTTAAAATACATTTGTCATTTAATAGACTCTTGGAAAAGTATTGAAAAGCAGGAAAGTCAGGGAAAGCATCAGAGACCTTCCTGGGAGTGAAGAGACAGGGCAAGTGTGCAGAACACTGGGGATGAATGGCAGGTCTCATTTGTCAGTGCTTTGTGTAAAAATAGTTTGAGTAGTCCCCCCTCACCATTCTCACCGTTCTCAATGGGCAATCAACTTTATTTTCATTTGTAACAGGATATTTGCCCATCAGTCCCTGAAAAGCCCTGCAGAGTTGTTCAATAAGTAGCTTTGACTTCTGTCTACAGAGGTTCTTGATATTCATTTGCCCCAGCAAGCAAGTCAGTGAGATCATTTGTTGAATTGCAATATCCTCTGGCCATTCCAGGTCCTGCATGGCAGCCTGTCTCCTAAGTAACAGAGTTCAGCACCTCAGCTGGGGTCTCAGCTGCCTTTCTCTTTGGTGTCTGGTGTGAAACACTCCATCCCCTGAAGAATTACTTCTGGTGTATAGCAGTACTTGACTAATGTGTAGAAAAGTGAAATGAAAAGCAAAGCTCTCTCCTTTCTCCAAGTCTGGATGCCATATGTTACATATCTCCATTGCAGGAGTTTCTGGCCTGGGTGAGGCTCTGCATTCCTTCTGTGGAGCGTTGCCCTGTGTAAAGGGACTGCAAATCCTCTGTTAACTCCTGGAATCAGTCATGTTTGCTGATTTCCATCACTCTTGGAAGAAGGGTGTTCAGAAACCTTGCTTTGAAAGCTTCCTTTGAACAATGGTTTGGTTACATCTTCCATTCCATCGCATTTAACAGATACAAGATGCAGAACAATCCCAGTGCAGATGTGAAATGGGAAGAGATTTTTCCTGACTCCTGTCAGTGGAGTGTGTTATCAGGTTGATTATTCCATGGCAGTTTCTGTCCTTTTTCATGACCAGTGCCAGCAGTAGCTCTCCTGTCCATGTCATCCCTTTTGTTTTCATGCTCCAGCCCCTCCTGAAGACCAAAGATGAATTTGACCAATGACTACCAGGTGATGCTTTTCAAGGAGGTGGATGGTGGAGTCTTAAGGCCATGGCAGAAATGCAGCCTGGCATTTTCCTGGGTTGCATGGACTTGTGAAGACTTCTTTGGATCATGGAAACCAAACCTGGCAGCAGTTCTCATGGGATGGTCAGATGAGAATTACTCAAAGCATACTGTCATTGTTTTCATAGGGCCCACCTTAGTTTAGAGCTTAGAGATTGTGGCATGGATCTGAAATGCAAATATTTCCATGGGATTTGGGAGCTCCTCACTGCCTTTTGCAGTGTTGGAGCAGCAGGAAGAGCAGTCTCATGATGCAGGTGCTGATCTCCCTGAGCTTTGTCTGTCTGAGATCTGCCTGGACTGCTGGGACAAGAGTGGGAGCTGAGCTCTCACTGGGTCTGGGGTACAGTCACAGACAAGGAAATGGGGTTTGTTCTTCCATGGCAGATAAATCCCAGGGGCTGCAGGAAGCTCATTACCCAAGGAGGAAGGACTAACAAAATCCCAAGAGCTGTGTATTTATAGAGTAGATGTTTCTGCATGAGATGCCTTTAAGGATACATTTTGTGATGTGCTAGTTAAAACATTAAATCTGCAAAGTTTGATGTCTGGATAACTTAGTCATAGCATTAATTAGCTATTAACTTGATCCTGCAGAGTTTTCATGCTTATTTATGTGTGATAGATGTGGGAATTTTTTTCTCAAGGCATTGGTTTCCAGTAAATTCTTCTGTAGTTGAAGAGACAGGGATATCAGCAGGCCATACTCTTACTTATACAGTATTATAATACTTTTTTCAATCATAATATTATCAATGTCTACCTTGAAATTAGCCCCAGTACAGATCAAGAAGTAAGAAAGCAGGATACACAATACTGTGATGCTGTTCATAACCAAAGTGTAAAACAAATGTGGTGCAAGTGTGATAGCACAAATGAACCAGAGAAAAATCTCTTCTGAATGGGCCATAGGGCAAGGAAGGTGGGAAGGTTGAGCTGTTCTGCCTTTAGTCTGCCAGTGTTGCTTGTGAATTCTAACACTGTGAGACTTAACGAGGGAATAAAAAATGTGATACACAGCTCCAGATAAGACCATTTATAGTGCATTTCTGTCACCCTGAAGCTTAACAAGTAGTGTTCCACATTAATAGATGTGCTTGAAGGTGGAGCTGCTATCATTTATTGTTATAACTCCTGAAAGGTATCTCAGAGAATTTGAATTCTAATTTCATTTTTCATAAAGATGTAGCATTAAATTCACATTTGTATTTTTGATACAAAAGGATAAGTACAACTGGAGATGGGAAAACATCAGTAGGATTCTCTTCCATCTATCCTGTGGAATCATTTTAATACCCACTTCACCTGCCTTCTATCATCCATTGCTAGAGGTGAAGCTGTGTTAGGATTTGAGAAAAGAATTTGTTTATCTGTGCATTTCATTTGTGTTCTTAATTGAAAGTTAATGTGCTGTTACAGCAACCAGCTCACAATTAAGTGCCTTCAGATTTTGAGAGGTCTCTGAGAAAATGTGGATTTTCTTAGCTGTCTTAATTAACACAGCAGCCTGCCCAGATGACCGGGACATGGGAGGGGACCATGATTGATTTGTTAATTACTTGGGGATTGGCAGTGCCTCTAGTTAAAAGCAAAAACTGACTGCAGGATCCTGATAACAGAAGGTAATGATGGTGTCCTGAGCTTTGAGAGGTAACCTTACATAGCTTTGTGGGATTCAAAGACCTGAAAGTTGAAAGGTTGTCTGTGTTATTGTTGGAATTACTGTGTTTCAGCTTTGGGAAGAGCTTCCATACAGGTTTGGTCAGTGAGCCACGATTAAGAATAATTTCGTCACTTCATTTTCCCCCTAAAGAAAAGGGGGGGTATGGGGGGACGGCAGCATTTGGAAAATTGACTTGACTTTTTTTTTTTTTTTTTTTTTGGTTAATGGCAGATTGATGCTTAATGCAAGGCTGGGGTATCAGTTTGTGCTCACTGGATGAGTTGAGGCCAAGTTCAAAGGTCCCCTCTAACACTTTCTGCAGTCATTGACAAGTGTAACTTTTAACAATTCCAAGTAGCCTTCCACTCTGTCTTGCTTCTGCTACCTCTGTGCCATTCTCTTGTGCAGAGTTTTGAGAAATTCAAAGCCATGTAAACTGTCATCCTTTCCTTGTCATCCTTTCCTTACTAAAGTTGACTGACCCAGACTTTGTAATGAATCTGCTGCACACAGCTTTTTCACTTTCTGTGGCCATGATACTGCTGGGCAATCTTGTGACTTAGCATGTTTTTTCTAAGGTGGTGAAAGTATCTTTCAGTTTGGAACTGCTGGTTTTGAAATTAAATTTTTGGTTTGCATACTGTTTGCTCTGCAGACTCCAGCCTGGTTTAAGGTGAGTCCCTGGGCTCACCAGCAAAGCAGAGAAGGTGGTTTAGGTACCTCTGGGATTGTGTTCCCCTTTTTGTTCAGGCTCAGAGAGTTGCAGATGTGTATTGCCCATACTTTACTGAGATTTAATAGGTTTGTCAGTCTACTTGGCCTCCTAATTTTTCATCCAAGGTGATGAGTTCTTAATAAATGTAGTATAAATCAATGCACCTTTAACTTTATAGTGAAGGTTCCAGGGCTTAATTTTCTTTCAACCCTCTCCTGTCAGGAATGTAAGTTCAGATGGAGCAGAAGCACGCAGAAGACTGAGAGAGTGTGATGGCCTGGTGGATGCCCTCCTGCACGCTCTGCAGTCTGCAGTTGGCAAGAAGGACACGGACAATAAGGTGAATTTGAGTATTTAAACATAGTTGGCATCAATTTATGCTGAAGTGTTGCACTGGGATCCAACTTCTGTTTGCTGGTATCAGAAGAGGCTTATGCTTGCCTCAGAAAATAGAGTAATTGTCCTCCTCTCATGGCTGGAATCAGTGGTAGTGCTGATGGGGTATCAGCAGGATGCTGCTGTGTTTCCCTCTATGGCTGATGAGGGGAGCAAAGGCTGGTGGCTGAGAGAGGTGAGGAGACTTTATTGTCAGTGACATTATTGCTATTGTTCTGCATTACTTAATTGGCATTTATAAGTGCAGTCTCCAAATCAGAATTGAGTCCCATTTGCACAAAGCAGCAAGGGAGTCAGTTCCCATTTTAAAGACTTTATTCAGCACCATCTCTGAAGACTGAAGTGCTTAGACTTTAAGAAATGTCTTCAGACCTGCAGCACATTCACTGTGGCTTTTTTTTTTTTGGTGTAGATTTTATTAATCTGTTTTTATCATCACCTCATCCCATGGCACTTAAAAGTGTATTTATATGCATGAGGAATATCATAACTTTAACCTGTTTAAAAAAAGAGCATGCTATTTCTTCATAACACCAGAAGGTTTGTAAAGCATTGTTATTTTATTCTGTGTCTCACCATGTGATGGCCTGAACAAGGGGGTTACAAAGCCCTGTTACTTAATCAGGTAATTTTGGAAGTGGATTTTGTAACCACCTGGTGGTTTCCATTGCAACCTACAGAGCACTGCTCTTGTCAGAGCCCGATGTGCTGTGGATTAGCTATTACTACAGGACAACGTGTGTTCCCATTGAAATCCTCACAAGGCCTAGGTTCTGACCCAGAGAAAATTTAATAAAATGGACCCCTTGGAGATTGTAAATGTGGGAAGAACGAGAGAGAGACTTGGATTAAAATAAGATCCTTATATGATCATTTTCTGCTGTGTGTTTGATCTTTTGGTGAATTGTATTCTTTATGTAAGATCAAGTGGTATTTTTGATTAGAGAGTTTTCATTTTGAATGGATACTATTTATAAAGCGCTTCACTTTTGGAAAAATAAAATAGGGTTTAGAAGAAGAATGAACTTAATAATTTAAGGGTCTTGACTAAATCTTCCTTGAGAGCTACATGGTTTTCCTGGGACAGGTAGCCTTCTTTTTTCAATTTCCCCAAGCCCTCCTCTGTACAATACAATGGTTTGCAGGTAAGAGGGTGCAATATTTCATATAACATAAATTTCTTTTTAACAGTCTGTGGAGAATTGTGTGTGCATCATGCGGAACCTTTCCTATCATGTCCACAAAGAGGTCCCTGGAGCTGATAAGTACCAAGAACTAGATGCTGGACAGACTACAGGCACAGGAGGCTCCCAGAAGAAGAAGAAAGATGATGCTGGTTGTTTTGGTGGAAAAAAAGCTAAAGGTATGTGTTGCAAAAACTCAGAACTAGAAATGGATTTGGGGGTAATGTTGTTGTGCAGTCCTGCTCTTGCAAGCACATTCATCGTGCTCATTTAGGATGATGCAGTTTGTGGAGTGTTTGCAGTGTCCTGGCATGCATTTATCTCCTGTGTTGCATCACAATTGGATGTTTGGGATTCTTTTTCCACGGTACTGTAATTTTGTGTGGCTTTAAACAGGAATGCTGCATGCTGACAGATGACATTCTGCTGTTGGAAAAAGGTGGATGTGCTCTGCCTCTCCTCTGCATTGCTGTATTCTTGCATCTGTCACATCTCTGCTCAGTCCCCTTGCCTGGCTGTGGAGCACGTGTGCCCTTCTCGGGAAGCCAGGCCAGCATGGATCCATCCATCCATCCCTGTGCATGGCACTCCTGCCTGTGCATCTTCCGTGCCTCCAGACTCTCATACTTGAAAACAAACTAAAAGCCTTCCCTCCCACTCAACCAAAACATACAACCTCCCAATTCATTCACTATTTCAGTAATTTAAATTGCAAACACGATTTTGTAGCTTTTAATTGTCAGTCACTCTTAGACCTGTTCTCTCCTCTGGGGCATGAGTGTTGCAAATGAGTTTCATTATGAGAGGATTAATAGTCCCAGTAACCCCCCTTCAATGTTTCCTTTACAAGGAGACACTCAAATTATATCCGTTTTCTTTGTTGTTTTAGAGAAATTACTATTCTAGACTGAATTCTGTTTCCTTTCTTAGAGAAATGACTATTCAGATGAATTCAGAGATAATTAATTCCATTTTCTATCTAGGCTTCATTCTCCTCATTCATGTGTACACATATCCTGGCTTATTATTTGTACCCAGGTACAAGGAAGGGTTTTGCCCCTAAAGAGCTGATATGGAGTTGTTTGAACTTGATGGACTCTGTGCTGCACATTGCTCTTTGATCTGATCTGCACAAGTTATTAAAATATTATGTGTTTCCATATGTGTTAGGGAAGTCATCACAGTGTGAACTTGCTTTTGCAGACAAGTCTGTCATCAACTACATTTAAACTGTTTAAAATAAAAAATTGATGGGAATCTTCTAAAGACTGGGGGGGAAACTAAAGAACTAATTCTGCCTGCCTGGCCAGCCTGTTCTCACAGGGAGTGACTGAACCTGCAGTGTGATACCCTTTGGAAACCTTGCATGTGTGCTGACTCGAGCCTGTTCCTGCCACCTGCAGTCCATGGTGTTGCTTTGCTTGAGAGCAGCACAGTCCCTGGAAACCCTTTCAGCCATTAAAGCTCTGAGTGGCCTGTGGGAGGGGGGTGTCGTGCTGAGGGTGACACGTCCTCCTCCACCCCTCGATGGCAGTGACAGGAGCACTCTTAGGTGTGTGTCCCTTGCCAGGTGTCTGCCTGGGCCCACCTAGAGATTCCTCTCCTGGGGCTGCGCTCCCAGGTTCTTTCTGCTTATCAGCTGAAGCACCAGGTCAAGTCTTTGTGGGCAAATTGGTCTCAAAATCATCTGATGCTGGGGGTGAGCCTGTGTGCAGTGCAGGCACTCAGTGACAGCTTGGGTTTGGCTCTGTGTGTTTGGCAGGAAATGACAATACATTTTAATGGGTTTTCCCATCTTTTTGCAGTGCTCTTTTCAAAGTGTGCTGTTCCCTAGAGGGAAATCAACTGGTGATAATACTGAGCTCACAGCTCGTAGGATGTAGATCAAAAGAATAGAGGGTCTCAGACGACTGTTGTGCCTCAAAAATAAAAGTTAAAATCCATTCATAAATGTGCTTTTAAAATCATAAAGAGAAGCTCCCTTGTCTCACTCTTAAATTTATGTGGATACTGGTCTGAACCTACCTTACTTTTCTCAGTCTAGAACTTCAAAATCAATCTGTTCTTTCCTTTCTTGTTCACTTAATCTCACAGTGTTTCCATGTTTATTTTATTTTATTTCATGGCCATTGATCACAGCATTTCAAACACCTCTGCAAAGGGCTAGTCATCCTTCTGTCCCCTCAATTCTGTGAGCACCTTTTCATTTAATAAAAAGAGAAAGAAAAGGGGAAAAAAAAAGTTGTGCAAAGAAAGATTGGGGGGTTTTAGCAGGAACAAAAGGGAGTACATGAAATACCTTGGTTTGGTTTTTTAATTGATGAAACTTCTGTAGTCTTGTAACACTCAGGTTTTGAACCTGTTCTGTGAAATTCTGCCTCTTTGTGACTGTTCCTTTGTATTTTCTTCATCCTGTAAATTTTTGTTTTCCTTTTGCTGCTTTTCTGGTAATTAGAGGAGTGGTTCAATCAAGGTGAGTCTGCAATACTTTCTTTTCATCATCACCATAACATGCTTTGTTCAGCTTTCACATGCAAGGCTAAGAGCTGAGATCAAGGTCTTGTTCATCCACCTCCTCCTGCTCCCCCAGCACAACCTCCTGTTCATTTCAGCAGACATGGAAAAATCCTCTGAGGGAGCTTTTGCAGTTTGGTCTTTCCATACCACAAATGGAAAATACGAGGATTTATTCATTCTTGGTGTAAGTGCAGTAGGGGAATTGCTGTGGAGCTGGCCTGCTGAGGCCAGGAGAGCAGGAACACCCAGGTGTGGGTTGTGTCCCCAGCCCTGTCAGATGGAGCTGGCTGCTCTGGGGGGTGGAAGGAGCTGTGACTGCAGCAGCTTGGGTGTGTGTCCTCAGGGGTGCTTGATGCTGTTTCTGCTTGGGCACGTGCCTGGGCTGCTGCAGCTCTGTCACTGACACACACAGGAGCTGGAGGAAGCTGCCTCAGTACCTGTCTAGGGGATAAACTTCAGTTTCTCATCCCAGCAAGTAAAATTGCACCTGGAAGACACAAGTCTGAGGCTAAAGGTTCCCTTGGCTGGGAAGTTGATAGGCTGTGGGTGCCTGGGAGCCTCTGTCACTGAGACAGATTCGGGGTGAAGGCAGGGGCATTTTCAGGTTGTGACACTTGCTTCAGATCATGGGTTCTGGAGGGTTGGACCAAAGGAGAAATGTTGGGGAGGGGAAAAAACCAACCAACCAAAATCTAATTGCTTCTCCCAGCAAATGGTGCTGGGTGGTGTTCTGCAGAACACTGACTTTGGGACTGTGAGTGGTGAGGCTGTGGAGGATGGACTTGTTGGCAGGACAGAGCTCAACCCTTGGTTTCTGTCACTCCTTTGTGGCCAGCTCAGTGGCTGTAGTACTGAACACCAGGGAGGATAAGATGAGATTGTTATTAAGAAGCACTTTCCCTTAAATTTTTATTTCAACCAGAAAGAAAGCATTTGGGAATTAATCCTTCAGCAGAAATGGTCTGGCTGCACCATGGTTTGATTATATGGTAAAGCAAAATGACTTTTGAGGAAGATCAACAACAACATTAGTGGTTAATAACACTGGGTCACACTTCAGAGTCTGTGCCGAGTTTCTGACAGATGGAAAATGCTGAAGGTCATGTTTTGGTTGTTTCTTACATAATGAAAAGTAGCAAGGGAAGAGAGGGGAGGAATTTTAATCCCTCTGTTTCAGAGACTGTAAATTGCATCTTGCACAAGCAAGTCTCATGTCAGGCAGTTTTCCCAAACCAGAGTGCTGTGCCAGTCCTACAGCCAGGTCTCATAAAACAGGCCTGTCAGCAGGCATATTCAAAACTGTCTCTTGGCAAAGTTTGGAGCTGTGCTCATCCAGCATTGGCTTCTCTCTGACACACCTCAGGCTGGAAAACCTGGAGACCCTGGATGTGGGTGGAAATTGAAATGTACCAAAAACCAGATCTTAAACTTCTCTCCTACTGCAAGTGTAGTTTGTGCTGTGGTTTCAGCATCCCTGTGGTGCACAACCTGATAGTGAAGATCCAGTCAGCGGTGTGCTCCATACAAGTCCCAGCCACACGGGTTGTGTGTGTGTTCACATCCCTGTTGTGAACAAATGCACAGGCTCAAGGGACAGAGCAGGGTGTTCAGAGCTACAGAATCTGGCAGTGATGCTGATTTTTTTGTGTTATTGGGGTGCATGGGGATGGCTGAGAAGGCTTCAGTCAGTAGACTCCTGAATTGCTACATTTGGACACCTTTTTAGAAACTCCCCAGTATTTGTGAAAATCAAATGGGAAAAATAGCTGCCGGGCCTCAGATTGAAACCTCTGCTTTCTGGATAGATTTGGTTTGGCGTGTTCTTGCAGCTTGCTTGCTCACCTTGTCTCTGTAGAAAAGCCTTGGAAACGTAGGTGCTTGGGGTATTTCCAAACACAATCCATTTGACTAAGTAAGTAATTTGTAGAGTTGAAATCACCTTGGTCAGAGTTCTGTGTTCTGTACTGCTGCCATTGGCAAGCAGCTGGCAGCTTTTCTCTGAACAGACGGGCTTTGGCCTGCGAGGTGCGAGTTCCTTACAGGGCCGAGATGCGAAGCAGCAGAGGCTCCTCCAAACCAGCCAGTGTTTGCTTTCTGGCCCAGAAATGGAGAGACAGCAACCGAGGAGCCCAGAGCACAGGTGGTGGGTGCTGTCTTTATGAAAGATGGGTCAGTAAATAGGCAGCTGCTTTGGCATTCCCAGCTCAAAAGTAGCAGCCAACACTGCACTCCTGGACAATTCCTCCTTAACAAGTTGTGCACAAACACAGTGCTTACTAAACACTGCCACTGGCAAGAGGGGAGCTCTCTCTGTGCCATCTCAGTTCTGCAGGGCTGATAGAACTGCCAAACCAACCTTGAAATTATAGAGGGGACTTTGGAAATAAGTAGTTGTGTCAAGTAAGGTCTGGCTCTCTGAGAACATGTTCTGAGGTTTAAACTATCTAATGGCAGAGACATGAAATTTGGGGTCATGTGAAAAAAAGTTTGTCCTACTTGTAGATAAGATGGAGTCACATTTATGGGTCTGCTTTAAGTCTGTAATAATCTTTCCTACACTGGCTTCCTTCCTTGAATGCTTTTTTCCTTTTAATTCCCTCTGCCCTGCTTTTTCCTGTCAATGCCCTAAGGGTCAACAAGGGTTTGCAGCCAGCAACTGGGTTCAGCTGCCATCAAGAAGTGCAAAGTCTTTTGGTGATGTACAGCACTTCTTTCTGGTATTTGATTTCCCAAGCAATGTGTTGCTCCTTTTGCAGAGCAAAAAATTGATGGAAGGCTGTGAAGTGCCACTGATTCCTGTCCCCTCCTTTAGAAAAGATACCTTTCAGGGTATCTGTATATATACATATACCCATATGCTGTGGTACCTGGCTGCATGACCCTTTGTCAGCTTAGATGGGCTTTTACATACTTCAGTTAAGGAAACTACTTCAGATCAGCAGAACTTCTAGGTGCATGTTTTGTTTTGCACAACAGTTGAAGTTGGCTGGTATTCTGTGTTGGCATTTCAAAAGAAAAGAGTGTGATTCCATCCCCTCCCAAAGAAAGGGAGAGGATGGAATACTACCTTGAAGAGGGGGTTTTCCCTCTTAATGTTACTCCTAAATATTCATAATGGTATTTAAAAGCTCTAATTCTTCTCTGTATGGTACTGAGTATTTTTATCCTTTTGTCAGGAGGAAAGGTAGAGTGACCCATTGAATTCACTGTGCATGTACCAGCCCCCTGCTGTAACAAGGCAGGCACTGGCCTTTCCCATCTCGTGACCTCTTGGCAGACAAGACTCAGACTAATCTCCCCATTACATTGTCAAGGACCATTTTTCTGTTTGCTTTTAAGCAGCCTGACTGGTGGAGCCTCCCAGGCCTTTCTGTAAAACCTCCATTACCAGCCTGGTAATCCCTGTGCAGAAGCCACTTCTGGCAGCCTCAGTTGGGTTGTCTGAATTCTTCCCATTGCACCTGCCTTCCCTGCTCTGGAGGGAGAGAGACTAAATAACTTGAGTTTTTCCCTCTCAAAATCAAAGCTAAATTGTACACTGCTGTGATCAGAAGCCATGCAGATTCTTGCACTGCCTTCCAAATCTCTCTCTCTGCTGCCAGTATTCCTCTGATGGCAAAGTTCCTGCTTGTCCCACAGCATCCATGTGGGCTTACCCAAGGCAGTGTGTCTCCTTGGGGGCATGGAAACTAGCCCTTCCTTCCCCATGTATTTACATAACCTTGAATGCTCAACCTAACTAAAAGTGGTTTTGTTCTGTTGTATAAATTAAAGCTGATGTAATAGTTTGACACTGTTTCTTAGCAAAAGTATGGAATTATTCCATTAGCCTCTAATAAATAGCAAAAATGACACTTTGTCAATTGAAGGGCAATTCAAGGTTAAGTTGTTGGCTGCTGTCTGTACAATATATTAAATCTAGGTCTTCCTGCCTCGTTGTTGCATTGAGAATAGAGGCTGCAAAGCAATGCTGTTGTTTTTTTGCTCTGCTGCTGAGTTTTTGCTTGAGCTAAGCTTCAGGTCAAAATTCCTTTGTGAAAATAAGAAGTAAACACTAGGCTTCTGAGGGAGGGGCACAGCTTTGCCAAGAAGGGAAATGGCACCATTTTCCAAGGTTTAAAGCACTCCTAAGACTCTGAAACGCTAGTGCTAAGAATGTTTGTAGATCAAGCTGAAAGCAGCATGGGTGTTTGTCCCCAAGTTTGCTCATGCTAGACCACAGCTGTGCAGCTGGGCTGCCAGTCAGATACACACAATTATGGGGAGCAGTCTGTGATTTATATTCTGGCTCTGTATCTTCTCCCATCTTGTAGATGCACATGACGGTAACTTACCTGTCAGTATACTGACAATCTTCTCCATCTGTTGTCTTCTTTTTTGCACAGGGAAGAAGAATGGGGATTTGGACAGGAATTTTGATACACTTGATTTGCCTAAGCGGTCTGAAGCAGCAAAAGGTAATGCTAATGTTTGTGCTTTTGGAAATAACAAGTAGCTTGGGAGCTGGAGGCTCTTAAAGGGGCTTGAGACGTGAGCATATCAGGCTGATCTCTTTCTTTTGTAGCCAGTTAATTGAGATAATGGATATATCTGTGCATGCTGTTATCTAGTGCTGAATACTGGATATGCATTTTTATCTAAGACTGCTGAATTGGTGGAATCTTGTAGAAGCCTGTCTGATTTGGTGTTAGGTGATTGTAACTCCAGAGAGGGGTGAGTGCAGGCTCTCCTCCTCTATAGCTCCATTTGCAGCCCACCTGCACCACACCTGACTGTAAGGAGTTCTGAGATGCACTCGCTGAGAGTGCTTGGCACTAACCCTTTTTCTTCCCTGGCATCTCTGTCATTCTTCAGCATTCTTTGGAACTGGGTGACAGCAGGGATTGGGGATTTTTGCCTTTACTGCTGGTCAGTCTTCCCCTGAACACAGTATTCCTCCCTGTCTGAAGTGAGCAGTACTTGTGGTTTTCTAAAATCTGGGAGGTTCACAGAAAAATTCTTCTGCATTGTGCTTTTGTATTTTAGCTCTGGCAGAGGTGGAATCGTTCACAATCTGCATTCCCTTCTTGCATGCATGGTACTTTTTTAAATTGGAGATTAGGAGGTGATTTGGGATTTTATCAGAATTCTTAGAGCATTGGATGGTGTTTTGAGACTTGCACAGGTTTTGATTTGAAGTGTGTGCAATGTCTCTGCAAAGATCCAGCCATTGTCATGGCAACTGCTGCCGTGCCACCCTGTCAGCCTCACCTTAACGAGCTCTGAATACCCAGAACTACCTGAATATCCTCAGAAGAAAAATTTTAAACTCTTCCCGCATCGTGTAGAGAATTTTGGGGAGCGTAAAGAGACAATCTGACACAGTGGAGAGATCCACGGACTATGGGATACCTGAATTTTGCTCTTGGTCCAGTCCATTTATTTGTTAACTGAGAGCAACAACAGAGGCCATGTCTGAGATCCTTGGAGATGTGCTGGTAGTCAGTAATGGTGTAATAATTATACATACATAGTGCTGCACTCAAATTCACAGTGAAACTCTGATTGATGATATGCAAACTAATCCTAAGATGTAGATAAATCTATTTATAGACACTCTTTATAGTGGATGCAGTTTCTAGTCTTATGTCTAAACACTGATTTTCATTTGGTGCATTATTGCACAAGATCTTCTGTATCTTGTGAAATAATGCAAGATGCTGAAGAACCTCTCAGAAGCTGCAGTACCATCCTATTTAGAGAGCTGCAGGAAACTTCTAACCAGCCTTCACTGGCTGCCATCAGTTCAGGCTGGGAGCTGATTACAGTGCAGAGCAAGGGACACCTTTAGGATGCAGGAAAAGAAAGGAATGCAAAATACAGCAAAGGCTTCAGCGTTTGCATTCCTTCCTAAATGTGATTGGAATGGAGGTGCCACTAGAGGGAAAAGATGGAAATCAAGAATTTCTGCAAGGAAATGTACCTTGCATAGCTTTCTTTAAAATAAGATCAAGAGCTTTCATGTGGCTCTGTTAATGGCAGAAGTGATGTGCAGATCTGATGGGAGATGGGTCTGTCTCTGAGCTTACACAGCTTGTTATCATATTCAATTGCTAGAAATCTCACACTCTTGAAGAGGTTGTTTGATAATTTTGAGATACCCCCATTTAATCAAAGTCAAATAGATTACATATCTCATGATAGATAAGGTCAGGAGATTAATCCCACAGCATTTTGAAAGAAGCACTTTGACATGGAAAAGGGCATATTTTAAAAGTAACTATTGACTTGTGTGCTAAGATAAAAAAACCAAGACATCAATGCATTTTTGTTCACTTTTTTGGTGGTATTTTCCTGCCAAGCATCTCATTTACTTGAGAATTCCTGGATAGTAGAGGTTCTAACAAGGTTGCTTGAACTTTCAATTGTTCACTGAAATAAAGAAAATAAAATTGCAGTTTTAAAACCCTGAAGAACTCTGGTCAGATCTCTTCTATAGAGGATAATTGACTCTGATGAGATCAGCTCTCAGCTGAGGCAGAACCTCGTTACTGAGATGGAAAAATCATGCAAGTTTTAATGATCAAAAGCACTCAGATTGAGTGACATGATGAAGTGCTATTTCAAAAATCAACAATTATAGATTAATCTCTTTCATGTATTATTAAAGCCATATTAAAGTGAGTTTTCAGCTGGAATCTTTGTGAGCAAGTGAAACTGCAGTAATAAGATCTGTTCATTCAATGCAGCAAATGAACATTGTGGTAAGTTAACAAATATTGGGATGTAGTGTTGTTAAGTTTCCTGTAATCTTATAGTCAGCATCCATGGATGCTGAGATGTGGTTTCAAGAACTTGACATCATGCTTTCCCTTGGAGATACTCCTAGGTATGACCACTGAGCTTAGTTGAGAGTATGCTTACGATCACCTGAAAAACCATGGACTTGTAGCAGCAGACTAGTCCAGACCTATTTTCTATCAGCTCTGGAAACTTCATTTTGACTCCAAATTACTTTAATGGTAGAAATCTCTGCCTGTCCTGCAGCCAGACATCATAAAACCAGAAACTTCTGTCGATTGTGGGTGGGGACTGGCTAGTGTCCGTGCAGAGGTTTCTCAGTCCTTCAGAACATCTGTCCTGCTGGTACATCTCAGGAGCACCTTCATATCCTGAACAATCCAAAGGGTCCTGTGAGTTGTAACCTAGTTTAAATGCTCGTATTTCACTTTTTCCCCCTGGAATTTATTTGTTCTGGTGAGGAATGAATGAAGGAAGGCAGCTCTCTTTTTCAGAGTGATGAACTAGAGTCTCTTCCTGATGGTTCCTGGTTTTTTAATGGGAATCAGGTTCTGCTGCAGCACATGATTTGAGCAGCCCTGAAACCATTTCTAAGCCTTTAATAATTTTATGTGCTAGGCATTCTGGCAGGGGAAAGCTTCTAGTTCAGGGTTGTTATCTGTGGTAAACTGGATAATGTCAGACTGGACAACTTGCAGTGCTTTCAGAAGCTGTCTGATCTGATATTAAAAAATTAATGTATATGCCCTGGCAGTGTCCAGAGTACTCCTGTCCTCGTGAGGAAAGATTGTGAAAGAGAAGCTTTGCGTTTCCTCTTTGTTGAAAGGAGCATATTTTTTTCCCTGACAGTCAAAGAGAGAGAGCATAAATTTTGGGGGAAAGTGATATGAGCTTGCATAGAGAAGGGAACAGCACTGACAAGAAATTATGAATGCTGTTCTCAGAACCTTGCTAAATTTAGGACTTTCAAAAATTGCTGCTTCTGGGGGGGGAGTCTTACTGAAATCCTTTCCCCAGTCTAAAGTAGGTCAGTGATAGTGGTGCTGGCTGCCTCCTCTGCAGCGTGTTCTCCTCTGCACTCCCACAGCGCTGATTTCTCCTGTGTACACATTAAATACGTAGCATAGTACAACTCCTGTGCTTTGTTCACAGAGTCCTTCACTTCTGAGCAGGAGCAGTGGCAGGAGGCTCAGGCACTGGGGGAAGATGAGGATTAATCATATCTGTGCAGGGGAAGGCAGTGTCTTAGGTGGCACTACCTCTGCAATAGGGTTTTCTGAGCTGAATCAGGACTGATGTGTGTCAGCCCCCAAACAGCTTACAGGGGATGTAACATTCAATCCTCCTGCATGAAGGTGTTGGATTGCCCACCTCTGTTCCTCAGTGCTGGAGTATGGGGGTAGAAAGTCCAGAAGAGCAGAACAGTTTTCTTATGTGGAATCAGCATTAGGTTATTCCTAATTAAATGCAGATATCTGTGCTGTCTGGTTTAAGCAAATCTCATGGCTTGTTGTTTATGTGCACATAAGTCTGAGGCCAGAACAGTAGCTGCTCTATGGAGTTTTGGGTGTTGAAGTTCAGCTCTCATTTCAGTTTATCTCATTAGGGAGTTGAAAATCGTCAGCCATAACGAGATGTGCAGGTAGATTTCAGCCTGGTGGATGAGCTATCTCATTTTCTCCTTGAAAGCAGTTATTAAGCTGCTTATTAATTCCTCTTTTCCTTTTTCATTACTTAAGTTTAATTCCATTTTAATGGAAACATAAGTTTAGGAGAGAGTTGTGCTGAAATACTGAACTAGTGTTAAAAATGCTTATAATTGAAGAAGTCTGTTTTGTTGCAGTGGGAACGTCCAAGACAAGCTGAATTTATCTGAAAGCTCAGCTTTGTGTGTACACTTACCCTGGTCAGCAGCCTATGTAGGCAGGGAATGAGATTTTGGATGAACTTGTCAGCAGGTGAATTTCTTCTTCTCCATTATCTGAAATTCTCAGTCACTTTCCGTGTAGCCTCATGCTGATGATAGATTTTCTATTCCAGAAGGCAAGTGTTTAAATTCCCTTATAAATCTTTGTATTACTGCTCCAGGAAATTAGACTTCCTGGCACTGTCAGGGTAATGACTTTAACTTAGTAGATTACAAAAGTGCCAGCAATTTGTCTTCAGCTAAAGGCAACATGTAGTAGAAGGAGAGAGAAACCTCACTTTACTCTGGCTTTAGTTTGTAATTAAGATTGGCTGCAGTTCGCATTTCACTGCTGCTTTAATTTGCTTTCTTTAAATCTTGACAAGTTGACTCAAGCACTCACCTGCCCTTTCCAGCTCCCTTCCATCATTAATTTTGATTGTCGTATTGTGAATAAGTGAGTGGAACTGATTGATTAATGGCACCATCCACACCCCTCCTGTGCCTGCTGCTGGAAATTCAGGGACTGGGAAGATCTCCTCTGTGAGAGCAAGCAACATGTTCTTGTATTAACATCCTTTCAGCATTTAATACACATTATTAAGAATTCTGATCCGAATTATAAAGTATCTCTTATTTCTGTTGCTTTCCTAAGCTGAGTATTCATTTTGGTCCCATGTGTTTTTCATAATTTACAAAGCAGTGAAAGGTTTCTCATCTGTCTTCCAGTGCTTTGAGTCAGAGAAAATTTATTGCCTTGAATAGGAAAAT